TATTTTATTAGATAAATAATAACAATTTTAAAATATTTTATAATATTATATAATTTAAAATGTATTATTGACAACTGTAGGAAAAATAGTACATTACATGATTTTAATGTAAAAATTAATAAATAAAATAAAATATTTGGTTATCAATGTAAAAATTAATAAAATGCGTATAAATTTTGGTAAAAACACTTTAATTTATTATATGCCCAAGGGATGAACAAAAATTAGCTCAAGAAGGGATAACTATTATATGGCCCAAGAGGGGATTTGAACTTGAGATGTCAAAACAAATAACATTAGTGATAACCATCATGGATCATTAACATATGTATTTAAAATTGCCTATTAATAGCATATATTTACATTATATTTTCATTTAATGATGTTTGGGAATTATCCCACATCGAAGGATGAATATTCAAATATAATATAAATAACTATGTACTTAGAAAATTAATGCAAGTGAAAATACTAGGGCATTAGTGCACATGTGCATGTGTGTGTCGTACGCGTGGTACATGTGGGAGTGGTGTGTGACTTGTATGTACGTGTATGTGCGTGTCCCACTTGTGTCCCACGTGTGTCACATGTGGGCGTGGCACATATGGGAGTTGTGTGTGTCGCATGTGTGACGTGTACGTGTATGTACGTGTCGTGTGTCACATCTGGGAGTGGTGTGTCACACGTGTGACACGTATGCACGTGTGAAGGTATTTTTGAGGCTTGAACCGGTGCATACGTACACATGTGCGTGTGGCACGTGTGGGAGTGTGCGTGTGGCACGAATACGTATATGTGCGTGTTGCACGTGTGTCACATGTGGGAGTGGTGTGTGGCCCATGTGTGTCACATGTGGGCATGACACATGTGGGAGTGGTGTGTGTCACATGTGTGACGTGTACGTGTATGTGAGTGTCACACGTGTGTCACATGCGGGAGTGGTGTGTATCCCACGTGTGTCACATGTGAGAGTAGTGTGTGTCGTACGTGTGGCACATGTAGGAGTGGTGTGTCGCGCGTGTGATGCGTGCGCACGTGTGAAGTGTTTTTGAGGCTTGAACCGGTGCACGTGTGCTTTAGGGTTTAGGCTTCTATGTCCGTGACGGTTATAGGCTTTTTGGAGCATCAAGAAACCTAGCCAAAGGGTTACAGGAACCCTTCGAGCCGCCATGGCTCTAATATAGTTGTGGCGACCGTCATGGACATAGCAGGTCTGAACCAATGTATAGGATTCTTGGTGCACCAGGAAGTTAGAGCTGCCACACCTCTAATAGAGCTGTGGGGTTTATAGGCTTCGTGGTGCACCACGAAGCTTGGCTGAAGGATTCCAGCAACCCTTCAAGCTGCCACGGCTCTAATAGAGCTGTTACAGGGGTAAAAACACCTTTTAGGGAAGAAAAAAGCTAAAAACAGATATAGATGTATTACATAAAAAATAAAGGTCAGTTTCAAATATAGGCAACTACCGGGGTTATATCTGATAATTTCTCTAAAAATAAATAGTCTCTTTGTATATTTTTCGTTTTTTAATATGTTTCTTTTTTATATATGAAAATGAGTCAACAAATCAGTGAATATGCATGCATGCTCTTCCAAGAATAATGTAATGTATACATGACTCGTTGTGAAATGTGAGGGCTATTAACATATTTTCAAAGGGAGGCGTGCGAGCCTTTTCTATATGTGATTGGACGAACGTACAAGTTATGAGCAAGAATAGGCTGGATTTGTCCCTAGCTCCAATAAGACGAACTTTGATTACCTTTACACATCCCTTGTTTCTTTGTTTTTGGTAAAAGGGGAATACCAACCACAACTTGCTATGCTATATCAGCTCAAAAATTTGTCCTTACTATGAACCATTGAAAAGAACCCCATGTACAATAATGTTCCTGTTTACTATAATATGAGATTTTATACAATAAGACTGCTATCAAAAGGTCCCATATTAAGCCACTAGATGTGAAATCAAAGGTGTTTCATTTCTCCTTGCAAAGTTTGAAAAAAACTTACCTCAAACTTTGCACGTACTTGATGGTACACCTCAAGCTGCCGGATTTCACATTAGATGGCTAAGGATCATTTACTCTTTTATACCAAAAACTAATTGGTCTTATTGTATACTTCCCCATGTAGATATAACATCCTTTTCGCCTAATGAAATGAGCCAAACCCCAGTTGCAAGGAATTGAATAGGAACTAACCTTAAAAATCAATGGAAACTAGACAAGCAATTGAGAGTTTTTATTATAAATAAATGCTTGAGAAATGAAGGTTACATAAATCACTGGTATTTTCCATTCTTTTAAAGATTTTGATTGACATGGCTTGAGGTGGACACCTCAGCTACAGCTAAAGAATCATATGTGCTCTGCTCTCTCTATAAAACAAACAATTCATCTCAATTATCAAAAACCAAATTCATCTCAATTATCAAAAACCAACAAAGAACTCCTTTCTTTTTTCTTTGGTTGGTGACATAAAGTATCTCTATAAGAACAAAATGGAGATCAACCCTCCCCTCAAGCTGAAGAGAACCTTTCCTCCGTGGAAAAGAGAAGTTTCCACTCTGAGGAATTGTTCTCAGGTTCATTGACAATCAGCTTCATCAAAGGAGTGGAATGTCTATCTCTAAGGACTTGGAGGTGGGGCAAGGCCTCCAATCTGATCTAAAGCAACCCCTTATTTCAAAGGGGAAGGAAGTCATTTTGAGCACTGATTCTTCTTCAAATGGAAAAGATGGAGGATCAATTTGGATGGTTCTTCTCAGCACCTTTGTAGCGGTTGCCGGTTCATTCGAATTTGGTTGTGCTGTAAGCTCTATCGAGAATTCAGCTTACTCGATTATTTCATGAAGTTGTTTTTCAGAGTTTTGATTAATTTGAACTGTGGCCTATTTTTGCTTAAGAGTTACAATTATTGTTTGTTGGAATGTCATCTTTTACAGAATTAATGTTGGGTTAAGGAATAGAGCAATTGGGTTGGTGTAATTAAGTTTTCTAATTAATGATTAGCTGCTCTGATGAGTGATTGCAGGTGGGTTTTTCGTCACCAACTCAGTCATCCATCAGGCATGAACTCGGTCTTACGTTAGCGGAGGTGATCAGCACTCACTCCCGCCCTTACCTTTTGTCCACATTTTGTAAATTAAATTTCTTTCTTAACTGCGGTAACTGAATAAGAGGATGGTAGGGGTTATTGTCATAAACTGTTAAATTCATTGTGATGGCAAAGGATTCAAACAAACTTGAGAACACAGACAGACAAGACCGCAACAGTCAAGAAACTCAAATTGTTTCAGTTATATAACTCCTGTATTTTCTATGATTTGATCATAGGCTAAAATTTGTGATACTATCACATGCTAATCAAACGATAGTTATTGGGAGTGCCCAACTAGGGTGGTGCTCCCACTCCAGAACCTAGCTTCGGCGTTCTATGGCCGGGATCTCGACCGGAACTCGCTTTAAATTTTTCAGGAGCTGGGTCCTAGTTATAGGATTCTCGATCCCATGCACAAAGGATCTTGATCCCATTGTCGCACGGATCGCGTTCCTTAAAATTGTAGGTCTCGTACCTTAATAAATTAGATCCCTGTTCCCAGAATTTTAGGAGTGCGATGCCTATGTTTCCGGAACTCCATCCCTATGTTCTCGAAACTTCCTAAAACAAACTTTTTAAATGCAATTAATTTTTAAAATATAACAATTATATTTTAAGCCAAAATTTCATACAAGTGGAGTTCTGCGATAGGAGTGCGGACTAATCATGCACAGAACGCGATCCTTCCTTGAATGGAGCTCGATCCTTTCCAAATTGGAACGCTATAATTCTTAGATGGAGGCACGATCCTATTGTTGGTGGGAGCACGGTCCTAATGAATATGGGAATACGATCCCATTTGACATGGAACGCGTACCCATTAAATAAGGATCTAGATCCCGATATATTGAGAATGTGCTCCCCGTTCATACGGGATCTCAATCTCCCCGAGCTCTGGAGCTTTGGCAGCTGTCAATCCGATGCTCCCGCTCCCGGTAACTATGAATCAAACCATTATGTAGCTTCCACCTACAATTTAAATCCTCTTACGTCCAAAACTTATTTGGATTAGCAACGGTGATTTATGCAAAATCCAAAGATACCATATTTACAAATCAGGTTTCATTGTGCAGTACTCTGTTTTTGGGTCCATCTTGACCATCGGTTCAATGGTTGGTGCTGTAATGAGTGGACGTGTTGCCGATTCTATAGGCCGGAAAGGGGTAAGTGGCATAGTAATCAGATACATGACAATACATTTATGTTTGCCAAAGGAGCTCTCTGAAGTTGCCATTTTCATGAACTTGTATCCATATATTCGGGTTTTATGAACAGGCAATGAGAATATCAGGTGGCTTCTGTATGATCGGATGGCTTGCAATATATTATTCAAAGGTTTGCTATCTTACCTCATGATACTGATACTGTGAACACAAAATTATGATGGAAAAGTCTATTCCAATTACACAATACAAGTAAACCCAATATCTAGCAACAGACAACTTAGTTTAAAAAATTTACATGATATAAGTGAGGCTAAACAACTATTCAAGTTGAAATGCATAATAAAATATGAGCTCTGTTTGTTTGAAAGGCTGCATGGTCTTTGGATATCGGAAGACTCTCAGTGGGATATGGAATAGGCATGCTTTCTTATGTGGTATGCTCAAAGCACTTCCTCTCATTTACAAATACATTGCTGAACCAAAATCTCTTATGCTTTAAAGAAAGGGAAGATGTACTGTAATCTATGGATTAAAGAAAAATAATAGTCCATTGGATCGTCACCATCCATTGAAATGATGGACAGTGATGTGGAGACAGACTACCTGGTATAGGACACAAGCTCAATGGTGGGTTCCATTTTCTCTCCATCATCATGCATTATCTCAGGTGATAATGGTGACTAATTGACAACTAAGGGACCATGGTTTCTCCATAGTCCATTGGATTATAGTATATTTTCACTCAAAACAGGAAAAAACAAACAATGAATAAATTGGATGTGCAGGTTCCTGTGTACATAGCAGAAATAACACCCAAGAATCTTAGAGGCGGTTTAACAACAGTGAACCAGGTAAGAAAATAACTAGATACATGGGGATACTTTTTTTTTTCCTATCTTTCGGAAAAGAATAGTATATTTTCTATTTTTATAGATGGAAATATTGATCATGTTCTTTCTTCTTTTTAAGTTGATGATATGCAGTGGAGCTTCAACAGCATTCATATTGGGAACGATATTGACCTGGCGTGTTTTGGCATTAATTGGTAACTTTCACTGCCACATGAGTGAATAGCATATGTTTCATGAACACAAACTAGTTAGAGACCTTACTACTGTACTTATATTTGACATTTCCATGAACAGGGGTGCTTCCATGCCTGATATTACTATTTGGCCTCTCTCTGGTTCCAGAGTCTCCTAGATGGCTGGTTAGCTTTCATTTGCAACTCCAACTTCCTGCATTCATAGAATTTACCGGCACTGATGTGCTTTTCTTTTATTTTCTTTTTTTTGGAATCAATGCAACTGATGACCTTGTGTCGTTTAAAAAAAATAAAAAATCAAAATTGCAGGCAAAAGTTGGTAGCCATAATGAGTTTGAAGTAGCACTACAAACACTGCGTGGAAAAGGTGCTGATATTTCAGAGGAGGCAGCCGAAATCCAAGTGTGTAGCTCTTATAAGTTATAATTTCAATGAAAATAGGAAGTGTCACCATTTGAATACAAGTAACGTAAGCATGAGGATGGATAATAGTAGTTTTAATGTTTGTATAGGACTACATTACAATTATTGAAGGTCTCCCTCAAGGCAAACTACAGGACTTGTTCCAAAGGAAATATACACATCCCCTTATTGTGAGCACCCTTATAACCTAAACTCATAAGCATCCAATCCGTAATCTATTCCTGGGGACTTTTCTCAAGATCCATTGTTTCAATAACTAGGTTGGAGTTGGCCTGATTGCACTACAACAATTTGGAGGAATCAATGGAATTGCATTCTATGCCAGTGAAACTTTTGTATCAGCAGGTCATAAGAACACTTCCACAACCCTAAACATATGATAAAATCTCGCCTCTTTTATAAATAATATAAACATAGTTTAATGCCTCCTTGTCTGTGCTTTCAGGTTTCTCTTCAGGAGCTGTTGGGACTATAGCCATGGCCACTATTCAGGTCCCTTTAAATTCCATTCTGAAACCTCTAAACAATTGTTATAGGTGAAAATCTACAATTCAACGTTATCTTTACAGGTTCCATTAACGGGGTTGGTTACGCTTTTGATGGACAAGTTTGGAAGGAGACCACTTCTCATGGTAAGCACTTAAAAAGATGAGAAACCAAAAAGAAACTGTTGAGCTGTGGTTAAAAGGTATTGAATATCGATAAAAATAAGCTCATGATGAAGATTGTGAGTTTCAGATATCTGCTTCCGGGACATGTTTGGGCTCCCTTTTGGCTGCACTATCCTTCGTATTGCAGGTGAAAAAAAAAATGTCATTGCACTTTTAAGATATCACACATTTGCTTAAAGTTCTGTAAACCCTTTTTCTTTTTTTTTTGGTGCGGTGGGGGGGGGGGGGGGTGGGGGACAGACTAAACTTCAAGTTCTCTAAATTATCTTTGACAAATCTATGATACAGGATCAGGATAATACATTTGAATTTGCACCAATACTAGCCCTCACTGGTTTACTGGTAAATTTCAGATACTGTAAAAAACTTCGCTTTCCTTTTCAAGAAGAAAGGTTATGCTTATTGGTTTATCAGTTTGCTTATATGAGTTCAGCAGTCTGAGATTCTTTCCTTTTCTTGTCAACAACTGTAAGGTGTATATAGCTGCATTCTCATTGGGCATGGGTGCAATACCCTGGGTCATGATGGCTGAGGTGAGTTCTTTGTCAGGCATTATGACCACTTGTTAATGATTAAGTTACAAAATATTGCATAATGTGAGGATTGTTGTTACAAAAAATATTTAATATGGGGAATGTTCAGACTTTTACTAGAATGAAATCTCTTTTGTAGGTATTCCCACTAAATGTGAAGGGAACAGCAGGAAGCCTTGTGAGCCTGGTTCACTGGTTTGGTTCTTGGATCATGTCCTATTCTTACAACTTCTTCATGAGTTGGAGCAAAGCAGGTTTGTAACATAAAAAATATAAGTGAAGAAAATCCACCAAAATTATCCATATAAGTGTGGATACACTTATATGGAAAATCAATAGGAAGTTTAGTATAAACTAATAGTATATTGTCTCTCGTGTTTCAGGGACATTTTTCATGTTCTCTGGGGTATGTGGGGTTACCGTACTATTTGTAGCAAAGTTGGTACCAGAAACAAAGGGAAGAACACTAGAAGAAATACAAGCCTCCATGGAACACTCTTCTCATTCCTCTGCGAAATTGGGCATGCAAAAGTGATTGCATTCTTGTTTCAAGTAATTGCATTCTTGTTTCAAGTAATTGCATTGATTGTTTTTTGATATGAGGAATGAATGACATAGGGAAGGGACAGTGCTCTTGTTTTAAGATTAATTCATTCATTTTCCATTCATGTAATTGTCCTGGATCTATTGGAGCAATCATCTAAATGTGGAGGGGGTAGTAATCACTAAAGTAAAAAGAAGATGAAAGATCAATAAACATAGAGAAAAATGAGATGAGGAACATAAATAGATTCAAGACAGGTTGTTGGGATTTACACCTTCGACAAATCTCAATGTTCTTAGATATTTTTTATCTTTTGCAACTTCAAGGCTTCAAGTTTCAACAAGTTGAAGTTCTCAGTAATAAAAAAATTTCCTCCCATATAAAGATTGGATTTTCTCCAATGCTTACCTTTTCATTGATTCTTTCTTTGATGGGCCAGGTCCTTCTTGTGAAAAATGTGGACTTAAAACTTTATATTTGAAGCCTCAAATTTTGGGGAACAAACGTAAGCCAATAACAAACAATCTTCTCAATCTTGGCATATTTGCCTTATTCTTTCCACCATATTTGGGCAATTTCCAATATCTCAATGGAATAATCCCCTTTTTTTTGTGTTTGAACCACATTTGATATCTAAGAGCATAGAAGCTATGTCATTCTTGGCTGATGCATTTTCCTTTAAGTATCTGCTTCTACTCAGTGATACCTCTCCAAAGTCAAAACCAAAATCGACGTCGGACTAACTTTACAATAATTGGGAGAGGATATCAGTAGTAACAGAAGTGGCTATATAGTTGTTTAAAAAACTATTTGCTTTGTTTGTATTTTATATTTGTTTCTAATGTGACTTGGGATATAAACAAGCCACATCCTAAAACTCTAATTATATTACGTAACTCTCAGTTTGTGCAAGTTGAAGTAAGCCAAAAAAAGAAAGAAAGATCAAGCAATTAAAAAGGAGAATGTAAGATTGAATAAAAACAAACAATCAATGAAGAATATATAAGTAAATGACTTTATTTATTTGTTTGTTATTATGCCTTTCGATAATTTTTTTTTTTACAGTAATAGATTTCTTTTCCCCTTATGTAGGACCTTGGCTTTACATTAGTATAACTTCCATAGCCTTCACTCTGAAACATGAAAATAAAAAACTCCATATAACAATGTTATCCATCAATAAAGTTGCAAATTGACAAAATTGAGGTCTAAAGTAATTTCAGTTAAGAATTATAGTCTCTCATAGCCACTTCCGTAGACCGAATGAAATTCATTAAGAGGACTGATAACTGTTTGTTTAGTGACTCTTTGTAAGTTTCTTCTTGGAGATCACCACTTGGAAATTGTGTTGTATGGGCTGCTCCCTATTTTCATTGAAGTTAGAACAATTGAGTGCATGTTCCTTTACTGATTCAATGAAAGAGCTATAATTATTGGTAGAGAGGAAGCCTCATGTAACTCTGAACCCGGAGAGATCATGTTCCCCAACAATAATATGAAGTAGGTCATGTGATGGTCATAAGTCTTTTAGTGATCAGTTGTCAAGCCAATCCATCAATATGGTTTCCCTGACATTATTTACATTGTTGTTTATTGTCTTGTGTTTATGATATTATGTTATAGCCACTTTTCCTAAGTGAATAAAAACAATACAGAAATAGCTAGAATCGAAACAATAACTAGGACTGAAATAACAAGACATTCTTACTAATTATAAGAAATTTTTGTATTCATAACAGTAAGAGAAGTCGTTGTATATCGAAATAATGACCTCTTTTGTACAAATGAGTCCAGCAGTTAGGATTTTAGCTACAAAGTTCTATAGAGATTTGAAGTTTGAACTTATTTCAAAACAAAATTACAGTGCTTTAAGAGCGCGCTCTGTGTTTTACGAGCGAAACTAAAAAAATCACAAACCAATTAACGATCCTTCAAGGATCAGAGTACTTAAATTCTTGAACATCAATTAAGTTAAGCTCATTTGGCTAAAGAACACACACACAAAATCCCAATAAACAATTCAATCAACTCTCTCTCTCTCTCTCTCTCTCTGAGATAACGAAAAAAAGAAGAGAGAAAACCCCAAATCACATAGGGCTCCTCATAACCAATAATTCAAAAGTGCAGCATGTACACAAAATATAAAAGTTCATAGTTCAATCAACACCCAACTTCTCTCTATGGAGAGAAGAGATAAAACCCAAAACCAGAAAATGGATTCCATGTATTCAAAACGACGCTTTTAGTTCATACCCAATTTCTCCTTAGAAGAGAACAAAACAAGAAACGAAAAACCCTAATTCACAAAATGGGTTAGTCACCATTAACTCTAAACTTAACCTCAAGCCCCGTGTTCATCAGAATCACGAATTCGAAGTGAGTGGCGGTCGTAAATTGTAAGATTCTTTCCCCAACTTGATGCACTGCAACCAGTGAAGAATCTCGGCATTCGGGTTCTCTTCGACCCTCAAATTGGAGACAGTGATCTGCTTAACCCCTCTATACTCAGTGATCCTCCCTCTAACAGTCATCAATTTCCCCAAAGCCACCTCCTCCGCCTGTTCGACTGCCATCGTAAAAAGCAACTCATCACGTGGAGATGGACTAGGGCTGAGATACAGGTGGTTCAGCCAGAGAATGCAGGGGAGCAGGGCGCTGCCATCGTCAAGATGGAAGCGGAGGAACTTGTCCTTTCTCTCTCTACCCACCACCACGCCCACGGTTTCTACGAGTGAAACGCGTTTGCCATTGCTCAGGGCAAAGCGGTAGTCGGGGGTTTTAGAGAGAGAAACGATGAAAGAGTTCAGGAGTTTGACATGGACGTAACGATCCATGGATAATTGGGCGAGGTTTGTAGAGAGAGAGAGTCACGTTCCCTCTGCAGATCAACCCTCGAATACTTGTAGCATGTTTCCCCGGGAGCATACTGTACAACACCTTTCTTGAGCTAAATGGCTACTTCTTGGTACAGAGTAATTTGAAAATTTGGGGTCCATTTAAGTAATTATTAGATAAAAAACAAGTCTTACTTAGGGGTATCGTTTTTTGAAAGAGAAGAATCGAATAACAAAATTCACGTTGCTAGTGTTGTTTGCAGTAGAAAATATAAAAGTTATTTTCTTCAACTTACAATTGGGTGATGAAGATAAAACGCGGGCAGTATATGTGCATTGATCTTACGAAAAAATAAGGGATTGTGTATTATGAGACTATTTAACTTGATAATAAGGAGATCATAATGGATTGTATACCGTGAGACTACTTATCTATGATATAAGAATGTCACAATCATTTAAATGACTCGGATTTTATGCTGGGCAAGCCCACGTAAGATATGCGGGCCTATCAAGAGGAGACATATATTGTACGAATTATGTTACCCTAAGTTCCCAATTTAAAGGATTCCCTTTAAACGGTAGTCAACCTGAGTTTCTCAAGGCCTAATTTTAGCTGAATGCAAGTGTCCCAACATTAACTATAACTTAAATGGAAAAAAATTTATATAAGTGCAAGGCTCTAAACAATCAAATTAGGATATACCTCAAAAATTTCACTAGAAGATGTTGTTTTGATACGTAAATATCTTCAAATTGATCATCTCGACCTCAAGATGCATGGATATGAGAAAAAAATAGATTTCAAATTGTGAAAATAATGCATTTTGTAATACATTTTTGGGCCATTAATTTTCAAGCTTTCATAGATCAGCTCAATCTACTCTAATTTTGAAGCTTTGAATTTTATACTTAGAAATGAAAATATATTTTAAAGATATCACAAAGATTTATAGCATTAAACCACTTTTCTCGATACTATTTGAAGGTACACCTTACTTTTGATTGTTTAGAGCCTTGGCCTTAACCAAACCGCACCCTAACATAATAATACACACACAAAATATAAAACTTAAATATGACAGTAATCAATAATACATAAATATTAGCCCAACCATCTTTCAAGAGTTTTTTCTTCTTTCTTTTGGGTAATTCAACGAGAAAGACAGTCTCTTACCCATTTTTCCATATAGCTTACGGAGTTAAGTCTTTTTTTTTTTTCTTTCTAAGGTATCATTTTCCATATAGATTAAAGAGTTAAATCTTTTTTTTTTTTTTTTCTTTCTAAGGTGTCAATAAGTGGTGTCGATAAGATTGGAAACCAAAATGTTGTAACTAGGTATGAGGGTGCTACTACCACGACTCAACTCCTTTCCTTGAAAAAAAAGAGAAATCGGAAACTAATAAAGCATCGCATACGACACAGGGAGAGCTGTTATGATCTGATACAGCAATGAGACACGGCAAAATCACGAGGCATAAATAAGTGTAGGAGCCGACAATATATGAAACTGTGAGACAGCATAAAGAGTCCTCACATTTCAATCCAATAATATAAAAAGTGGAGCCGTGTCATTTGGTAGGTACAAATAATATGAGACAAGAAGCATCCACCACCCTTGCACTCCCCCACTTATTCATCATTGTTTTTTGCATTCATATCGATTTGTCCTTTGTCCAAATTATTGGAAAATTGGGACCCATTTTTCTTTCCAGTAGTCAGAAGGGAGACTCAAGTTGGCCTTTCCGGTATCAACATCCGGTATCAACATGTTGTTTTAAGTTTTTTATTACATCAATCTGGATCGCTCAAATCAATGAACGGGTGAAATATCGATTAAAAATAAATCAATTGCAGAATTCAAGGGTTGGGGAGGGGTGTCATTGAGTTTTAAAACCTTTATTTCGTGATGAAAGGCGTACATACGTTAGGGTATATATATATATATATATATATAGAGGATGTCTAGCTCAAGTCACTATAGTAATAAATAAACAATGGATGACCCTATAAATGTCTACGTGGTGTATCATCAAGCTGGAGATGATTTTGAGATCTTTGAATAGATCTAGTTGTGACCTTTTTCCTCATTCAATCTTTTAGGAGTACTATTAAAGCATTTTTTTAGTCCCAAGTTGGTTTTTCAAATTATTGTTGGAATATTTTGGTATGGAAAAGTATACAATAAAATTGTTTATTTTTAGGATAAAGAGGTTTCAATCACTATTTATTAATCATTAGATGTGAAATCAAATTGGAGGTATGTGATTGTTTGGGCACTAAACTCAAAGTAAAATTTCTTGAACCATCGTATACATCCAAGCTATAGGATTTTTCATTTGATGACTAAAGATGATTGCGACCTCATTATATTAAAAGTTAATGGCCTTATAATAGACATTTTAGAGTTTTGGTGTCAAACAAATCCCCTTCAAGTGTTTTCCGCCTAGAGGACCCAATGTACAATTTATTCAAGGAAAATGCAGTATAAATGGAAGAAAGTAAAACCTCATATCAAAACTCATTAAAAATTGTAGTTTCGGCATAAAAAAAACCTTTATATCTATCATCTCGGCCTTGACCATTATGGTTGTAGAAAAAAGTTATGATTTCAAGCCCTAAAATAATGTATATTGTAACACATTATCTAGACCGTCCATTTTCAAGTGTTCATAACTCTATAACATCTAACCATTTTTTTAGCTACAAATTTTGTATAGATGATGGAAATAAATTTAAGAGACATCATAAGCATTTCCATACTTGAAGTATTTTCCAGACGAGGTGTGAAGGTGATGCTTTATTTTTTTTCATAAGACCTTGGCCTTATAAAAACTGCATCCTTTTTATTTATAGTGTGGTTTGTATAGAGTCGAGGGTCAAAACGATCAAATTATAGCCCACCTTTAAATAGTGTCGAGAAATTTAGTTTCAATATTGAAAATCATCGTGATAACCTTAAAATATATTTTCATCTTTAATTATAAAATTTAAAGTTTCAAAAATAGTGTGGATCGAGCAGATCTATGAAAACTTGAAAATCTTGAAATTTGACGATTGAAAAATATGTTACAGGATGCACTATTTCCAAAATTTGAAATCCATTTTTTCTCATGTCCATGCATCTTGATGTCGTGATGATGAATTTGAAGATATTTGGACATCAAAACAACCCCTTCTAGTGAAATTTTTGAGGTGGGCTCTAATTTGATTGTTTAGAGACTCGGCTCTAAATAAACTTTTTCCTTTTATTTATTTATTTTTGACAACCATCGAAACTGCGTCCTTTATTCAAACGAATAAACGTGGCGACCAGATTTTTTTAATATATCATTCAGTAAACCAGGGCCAATTTGGATTACCGAGGAGGGGTACTCATGGAGAAGCATTATTCAAGATTGAAAGCAATTGTCATGAGGTTAAATGGATTTAGTAACTTAATTAGCGCCATTTCCCAAACAAGCCTGTTAAAAAAAGGGAACACTTGCAACATATTCAAGGACATCTCCCAATCTAAAATGTTCAAAAAATAGAATTAGTCTTGTTTAATGGTCGATCCAAACAAGCCCTCACACGTATCCAGCTCTCCTTGCCAATGGGAACACAAAAAATTCATTTTGGTGAGTCAACCTAATTATCTAAGATTCAAGATCCAAAATGCATCGTAAATCACTGTAAATTCATTTCTACATTAGTTTTGTGATATTGAAGCGAAACAACTAGAGCAAAGATGATAATATTTATTTTTTAAAATGAATAAGTGAAAGTATTTTAAAAATAAAATTGATTTTTACACTTTGGATTTGGCTTGGCCATCTGTGGTACGAACCCAGTACAACATTTGTTAGGAGGTGCGAGTTAGTTGAAGTGGAAGACGCAAAGGGTAAGATGTAAGCCCAAAAAGACATGGTAAAAAACAGTGAGAAAAGACATAAAGACATATGGTCTGGCTGAATGTATGACATTTAATAGAGTAGAATGACAGATCAAGATTCGTGTAGTCAACCCTTAATTAGTTGGACAAAAACTTTGACGATGATGATTCATGTTGGTTTATGGTCGACAAAATTAGTAAAATTTTAAATGTAAAACCTATCTCCAAGATAAAATTTAAAGGTTTGAGCTGGTTAGGGTGACAACTGTGCCCCCAACCACGTGAGTCATACTTATATTGAAAAGGAAAATTTATCAAAATACACAAAAGATTTAAATATCGCATTTTATGATATACTTTTAAATATCCCATCAAATGACACGTTAAAATGGGTCTTGAAATTTACCAAATTACAGTTCAAGTAAAACAACGTTAAACATTTAAATTTAAGCGTATGATGATAAATTGTCCTATTTTTTAATGGAAATTTTTGATATAAAGTTGCAACTTTAAAATGTAAAATTAAAGATGCACATCAAAAATCCATCGAAAAAGATTGTTTTATGTTGAAAAACCCTCCAATTGATTATCTCAACATCGATATGTATGCATATGAAAAGAAAAAAAAAAAGATTTTGAGTCCCAAAAAATAGTGTATCTTGCAACACATTATCTAGACCGTTTATTTTCAAAATTTTCATATGTTTATATATCTACTTGATTTTAGCTAGTTTTGGAGTTTAAAGTTTTATAATTAGATATAAAAATAGATTTGCAGATAATCCGAAGAAATTTTTGCACTTAAATTACCTGTAATGATAAAATTTGAAGGTACATCTTAATTAGATTGTTTAATGTTGCAAATAGAAACCACACCCTTTTTTAATAGGTATAAAAATACAAGGGAGTGAAACATGTAAAGCTCTCTCCTATCCCCACATATATCATCAGTGTGCTAATTAACTTTTTATTTTTCTAATAATAATTATACCCACCTAAATTTTATTTTTGTAATATTGTTTTTTTAACTTTAGTTGGATCTTCTAAAATAAGGGAAGCAATAATTGAGGGTTGTAAGGGCGTCCAAAACCATCGTACCAAATAAAATCAAAATAAATGATGGACAAGTAATGCCCGGGACTTTATTTTTCTCATAAAAAATTATATAAAATCAGAAAGGAAATGCCTTGATTATCACATGCTATCTTACACACTCGCGCTTATTATATCTACTCTCTCTCCTCTCTATCTCTCTATACAGGGAAGAATCCAAATTATATTAGAGCCTCTCTCTTTTCCTAATAATCTTTCTCTTGGTCAGCTACAGCTAAGAACCGCATCGTATTTAGTAAATAGTAATTTAATTGGTAATGATCAATTAACTCTTTATCTTTCTCTCGTCATCTACAGCTAAGAACTTAGGTCATATTTAGTAACAAGTAATTACCCCTCTCTCTCCACCTCAAGCAAGGAATACCATTCCTCTCATTCTTCTCTCTCATGCACATCATCTAATTCTCTCTTCACAGCCACACATCAACTCTTTCTCACTATTATCATTCAAAAAGAAAAGAAAAACTCCCTCTTATTATTACACATTGTTAGAGATTTTATGTACGGCTATAAATTAAATAAATAAATGATTGATTTGTGTATGGTCAAAAAGATTCGAGAATGGTTGTTTGCCGTAAATTTTTTCATCTTATTATTATTATTTTATTTATTTTATTATTTGAATTATATCTTATATTTTAAAGTAGTTGGTAACCGATCCGAAATTCCCATCATTATTGTACCTCACTGCATTACAAGGCAGTTTCCATCTTGAGACCGTCTAAAATATCGTAAAACACTATAATGTAGGTGGTACGAGGATGGAGACTTCAAACCGCTAACTAGATTGAAGCAGCTAGAGATCATAATCCTTAGATTGCTTATCATGTAGTGTTATACAACAATTTGGGTGGTCGGACCGATGGGAACTATACTGTTGTAAAACATAAGACATGACCCACCTAATAAAAAAAAACTTAAAAAAAATAATTTTAAATGGGAATGCCATCACCAGAGGGCATCATAAATTTTTTAAAATTCTACATTAATTTTCAACTAAATTTGATCCATTTTATATTTGATCTATAATTTTTACTCACTTTTAATCCACTGCTAATCATCCCATTATCTCTCTCTTCACCGCGCCACTACAGAGCAGCTCTCTCTCATCACAGAATTGAAACAGTGGAACTCTTGTCTTTTTTCTCTCTTCAGAGCAACAGTCCAATTTACAAACAGGCAACCAACTCTCTCTCTTCCATTAGTTCGGGGTTCTTCTATAGAACTATCCCCCATTCCTCATACAAAATGATTGCTTTTCTCTAGAAGAAATTCATCTGTCTCTCTCTCTCTCTCTCTTTCCACACAGCGTGAAGTGATTCACTGTCATTTGATTCAGAACCCCTGCTTCTCTCTAAAGAGATTCATCTCTCTCTCTCTCTGGTTCCACACTTGGTAAAGTAGTTCTCAGTTAATTGATCAGTGCGTTGCTCTCTTTTTTTCTCTGTCTAAGATGTCAACCAGCAAACACTTGGAAGATGGGCACAGCCCAAGGGAACCTGAGATAACAGAGCCTCTCATTTCCAATTCTAGTGGCGGTGATAATGGTTCCATTGCAATGGTTATTCTCAGCACCTTTATCGCAGTCTCCGGTTCTTTTGAATTCGGTTCAGCCGTAAGTTCTTCTTCTTCTTTAGCAGAGGGTTGAGTGAGTTACTGTGTTTCTGTATTATCCATGATTGAGTTTAATGGAGCTTTGATGGGTGATTACAGGTGGGTTTTTCATCTCCCACTCAGTCAGCAATCAGGAGCGAGCTTGATCTTTCATTAGCGGAGGTAATATGCTTAATAACTCTCTTTTTTATTTTTACTATTTGCAAACATGAATCCAAATTTTAAAAAATATCAATGAAAGAGCATATTTAAGCACTCTCCAATTCTCTATCGAATTTGGATTAAAGATTCGCAATAACTGAAGAAAAGGGCCCCAATTATTATCAGCATTCTCCTAACACTGCATAATTCATATATTGTTTCAGCAAAACTTTGTCGAATTTCAAGAGAAAGTGTTTTTTTACTAGACCTTATCTCTCTCTGTCTATCTATCTATCTATCCATCTCTCTCTCTCTATCAAAGCTTTGTCATAATGGTTTCAACCTCAGGAGTTTTTAACTATTTTATTGGGATCTCTATCTGAGTCCTTGATTTTTTGCACACATCTCTGTGTTCATCTTCATCCACATCAGAAGGTAGAATATAAAAGCTGAAAAATCCACAATTTATCTACTGTAAGCCTGAAATCCAAAAGAAGGGGCACTCTGAATCTAAATGTCTAACATCAGATTTGAAAAAGTCAAAATGTTGAAACAAATGGAACCTACACAATATATAGGGCCATACACAAATTACGCCTTAAAGGAAAAGGATTTTATAAGCCAAGTGTCCTATACTGCAGTGTAAGCCACTGTGAAAATTAGTGGATCATTAAACCTTAAATTCTGCACACATGTTGATCTCATCTAGGTGATAAAAAAAATAAAAAAGTTTTTGAGTTAGCACAAAAAAGAAGGGGGGGGTGAAGTCGCCGTATTTGGTAAATGTAGGCCATCCATTTGGCAGGCCTTCAGGAACTAAAAATCATTAATTTTTTTGAAATTGTCTATTTTTCAAATCGAAGATGAGCACAATCTAGCTATGTATTTTGGAGCTTCCAGCCTGTTGCCTTACAGAGATTATTATCAAGTTACAGAGTGCCAGGGTTAAGCCTTCACATTTTCACTGTGCAGTTCTCTGTTTTTGGATCCATATTGACCATTGGAGCTATGATTGGTGCAATAGCGAGTGGACGCCTAGCTGATTATGTTGGTCGAAAAGTGGTAAGATATCTATTGATAAGCATGTTCAAGGATCAAATATTTTTTTCCCTGAATTGTATAAATTTCAAACACATTTTGTTATTTCGAGAATGATTCTGAGTTCTTGTAAGTCCTTGTAATACTACTTAAATGGTTTGATGAGTAGACAATGGGAACATCAGCCCTCTGTTGCCTATTAGGATGGATAGCAATCGCCTTCTCCCAGGTTTGATTTATTCCCTTGGAGTATTGGATTTTGGGAAATTACTTACACTATGTTTATTCCAAGCTATATCATTATCCTACTGTAATTCAAATCCTAAATAGATATCTGAACTCTCTTTGTTTCGAAAGGGTTCTTGGTCACTAGATATTGGAAGACTGGCTGTGGGATATGGAATTGGTGTTTTCTCTTATGTGGTATGCACAAAACAATCAGTGCTTCATTTATTGTTAGCAATTAATACATCACATGTTAATGGCTATTAGACAATCTCCATTTCTGCAATCATAATTAGTTTTTATCACATTGCTCCAACAGGTGCCTGTATACATAGCCGAGATAACACCAAAGAGTCTTAGAGGGGGCTTCACAACAGTAAATCAAGTAAGAGAATCTATATATAAATCTCATATGGAGTATGGTTAAGATAATATCCCATGAGCTTATATACATTTATTATGCAGCTAATGATTTGTACCGGCGTTTCATTTGCGTACATATTGGGAACAGTTTTGACTTGGCGTGTGCTGACGTTGACTGGTACTCTTTCTTGTTATTTAAATACAATCTTATGTATTCTTTTTGAATTATCAAAAGAAATCCCACACATTTTTTTGTTATGGATATTCATAAAAAAAAAGAAAAAAAGAAATGTATGGTAGTTGTTTAAGGATAGCAAGGAACTAGACAAGTGCACCATTCAAATCAATTTTGGAAACCTTTTTTTTTTTTTAAGGAAATCGTATTTGGAATTGATGAACCATAGCAATAGAAGCAGGCTAAGAACAAAACACTCCAGTAAAAACATGAAGGAGAAACAGAGGAAGATTTTGGGGAAGAAGAGCAAACCATCATGTGTATTTATTTCATAACTTTGAGGATACATAAAGGAGCCCCATTGTGGATAGTGCGTCATATTACCCTTGAACAAATATTACAATGCCAAACAAGGTACATGTATATATACATCAAATATTAAATATATGCCAATACTCTCCTCAAGCTGACATGTAACATGGAAAGCTTTTTGTCTATCACGGAGATTTTTTTTTGAGAGCCCTGGTCATTATATTTGCAACTTGATTTGAATTTTGAAGTATGGTATACTTCACATAGATTTCATTTTTATGAGCCGTATCTAAGTATAGCTATGATCAACATCCAAATGTTTGGTCTTCCCATGTTGTAATGGATTATTTGATAGCTTGATATGATTTTGAGGATTGTAATACATCTTCATTACCTTCTCTAGGTGTATACCTATTTCTGAGAATAGATTGGATAACTTCTTAAGCAGCAAAAGACATAGATCTATACTTTGCTTCAGTACTTGATTTTGGCCACAGTTTTCTGCTTTTCCCTACTCCATGATGAAAGAGTTCTTCCTGAGAATATAAAAAAGCCAACAACTAATCTTCTATCACTAGGGCAGCTTACCCGGTTCGGCATTAGAGAAAGTTAATGGTTCTGCTCCACCTTATATGGCACACCGACGACTATTGTTTGCTATTTCCTTGACATACCTCAATATTCTCTTTGCATTCCTCAAGGTATCACTTTCTTGGATTTTGCATATGTTGGCACATTGTATTGATTGTGTGGTATTGATTGTGTGAGCAATGTCAAATGTATGGCCTTGTGACGGTCAAGTGTTGAAGCCTTCCAATTGAACTTCTCTATTGAGTAGCATTTTGGAGTAACTCCCTCTGTATTGAATAGGATTTGGAAGTAATTCCCTTCACTGTCTCGGAATTTTATATTTACTTGAGCTAGGTTTCCTATCGGTTTATAGGCCAGCATGCTAAATTTTTCAATTCCAAAGGTTTCCTATCGGTTTATAGCCCAGCATGCCAAAATTTTCAATTCCAAGTCATACTTCTGTTGAGATAAGAACCAAACCTACTGAGAATCTATGCGCTTCTATTCCAAGGAAATAATTTAAGCTTCCATGGTCCTTCATTTCGAAGGATGTTTCTCAATTCCCAACTTGTTGCTTCCAGTAATCATGGCATCTACATACAAGAGTAAGAGGGTTATTACCTGAGAACACTTTGAGGTTGAATAACTTTGAATAAGTCCTTCCATTTTGATGACTTGCAGGAAATCTGTCAAACCGAGCTCTTTGAGCTTTCCAGTTAGTGCATTTCTCAATCGGCATTCAGGGTTAGGGAATTTATTGTCAACAACATGAGGGTCTTTTGGCATATCGAATTATTGCTTTACTGTTCCATAGAGAAATGCATTTTTAACATCAATTTGGTTGTGATTCCGTCCATTTTTTGGTTTGACCACCAGGACAATAAAGCCCTCATGGTTGCAGCTTTGGACACGGCACTGAGAGTTTCTTAAAGTATAATCCATACTTTATATTCTTGATTGTATCCTTTGGCCATCACGCCTGCTTTGAATCTTTATACACTTCCTATGCACAAGTCTTCATGATAGGAAGAGGTTCAACATGCTGTGGTGCACTCATCTTTACCTGTTCTCCCCATGGCATATAAGCCTTTATACTTTGAAATAGGTCTTGTGAAAGAAAGAATTGCAAGTCTGTATTAGAAGATGAATAATATGGATTAGCCTCATCTAGATATTTGAAACTTGGTGAGTTAACTTTGAATCCGCAGCTACTGAGTCTGTAACAAAACCTTGGGCATCCACTGCGTCTTGCTGATTCCTAAGGTTTTATTTTTTAATTTTTAAGACCTGGCCTGTTAGGGAGTCTAGTTGCCTGACTTAGGCTTGGGCCCTAGTGAGATTTTAAGGCTTCTAGTAGACAGAGATGAAATTTTAGAGAGAAAAACCCTACAAGTGAGAGATTGCCTCACCTTCTGAAAACCCGTCCCAAGGTTTGTATTTTGTGCTGAAATTTCGCACATCAAGATTGGATCAATATAGCTGAATCTTAATCTTTGGAGATGCTTATCAAAAAAACAATTTTGGGCTTTTGCTTCTTGGTTGGAGAGGATTTCAATCTTCTTGACAATCCAGCTCAGAAGTGTTATAGCAATGGATAGATGGTTGATGATAGAACTTGGAGGTTTGTAGATTCCAGTGATAGATGGTTGATGATAGAAATTGGAGGGTTGAATATTCAGATGCTAGATGGTTGATGAAAGAAATTGGAGAGTTGAAGATCCCGCAGCTGCTACTTAGGCCTTCAGTTCATCCTTTAGCTTTGATACCAGGACAAGATTTTGGGGTAGAATTGGAAATTTGTGTGTTTCATTTCATCACTTTGAGGATACATATGGGAGCCCTATTATGAGTATCATAAAATATTACCCTTGAATAAAGAATACAATACCAAATAATAATATATACGTATATCCAAACAATTCAGGGATAATTAACCTCCAGTTGGGAAGATAATTGAGAGAAAGATATGATAGGAAGTGTGAGAAGAGTCAGATTGTTTGTTGGGTTGCCATGAAGAGAAGCATATTCTAGGTAAAGCTCCTGACTAGAGATCGTGAAATGGAATAACATGGTTCACTTGTCAGTGAAATCTCTCATGAAAATCTTTCTATGGTTTTGAGTCTTATGATATACGCAATTGGCTATGGTGATTTCATTTCAGCATGCCCACTCATGTATAGGTTCTTTGTTTTTCAGTCCAGCATGCACACTTAGCAATCTGTTAACTTAAGAGGGGAAAAAACTTTTTCTATTCAATTTTAATATGCAGGGCTTATTCCAATGCTGATAATGCTAGTGGGTCTCTTCGTGGTTCCAGAGTCTCCTAGATGGCTGGTTAGTCCTACTTGAATTCCATATCGTGTTACATGCATATCAGGTAGATAAAAATAAAATCATGTTTTTTTATGGTAAAATTGGAAAAACTTGGATAATCATGTCCCAGGCAAAAGTTGGCAAACAAAAAGAATTCGAAGAAGCTCTACGTAGACTACGTGGAAAGGATGCTGATATTTCTGAAGAAGCAGCTGAAATTGAAGTTAGTAATCTTTACCCCAGAAAGAAACTTTTATCTCAAAATGTTTCTAACAAATCTTGTGCTGAACATATGAACACCACTTTTGTACAGGATTACATCAGAACTATAGAAAGCCTTCCTAAGGTTAAACTGCTTGACCTGTTCCAAAGGAAATATGCATATCCTCTCATTGTGAGTTACCTTAAAACTTAAAATTGCTTGCCTGTTGCTCTTGATCACTTACTTCGGCTATTTCTCAAAAGTATAAATATTGCAATTACTAGGTGGGAATTGGCTTGATTGCACTCCAGCAATTTGGTGGAATCAATGGGATAATTTTCTACGCTGCGGAAACTTTTGAGGAAGCAGGTAACAAGCATTTAATCTTTACCCAAAAAGAGTATTCAGCTTTTCTCCACTGCTTCTTTGAGTTCGTAATTCTTACTTGATGAATGAAGTTGCTTCACCATTATAACCATCACTTTCACCTGTTGTAGCAGGATCATTCTATATGATAAAGAAATTAAACATAATTATGTAATCCTTCTTTTTTAGGTTGGCAAATGTAGTATTTTAGAGGGGATTTGAACTCGTAACCTCCCACTTGTCTTAAAATGTGTCAAGAAAGGATGTTTTTAAATAGCTCAAATGCATTCTTAATCTAATTTGTGTTTCAGGATCTTCGGGGACAGTGGGGACTATATCCATAGCCTGTATCCAGGTTCTCTGACTCTGTCCTCATGAACTTTCCTTGTTTCCTAAAAGGAAAGTACACTATAACAATATGGACTATGGGAAAATGATAGTCTGTTGGATCATCGCAATCAACTGAAATAATGGAGATGGTGATGAAGAGAGAGTATGACCCACCAGATCAGGGGCTGACCCACAGTGATTCCCATTCTCTCCATCACAGTCTTCCATTTCATTGAATGGTAATGATCAATGGAATGTGGTTTTCCCGTAATCCGTTGGATGATATTTACTTCCCCTTTCCTTAGATGGCTGATGATCTAAATAGACATTTTTCCACAGGTTCTAGTAACAGCAGTGGGTGCAACTTTGATGGATAAATGTGGAAGGAGACCGCTTCTTTTGGTAAGCAATATAAGGACATGACATTTAGTGGTTGGTAGTGAAAAAAGTTTATTTGTGGTTCATAACAAAGAGTCTGAGTTACAGGTATCAATATCAGGGGCATGTTTCGGCTGCCTTCTTTCTGCAATATCATTTTTCTTACAGGTAAAGGAGAGAAACCATGATTGAACGTAAATGAATCCAGCCATTCAATAAATTTATATGTAAATAACTTTGGATTTCTAACTAATCTTCTCTTTGTGTGATGCAGTCTCAGGACTATTTAACAGATTTTTCTCCAATATTGGCTCTTTGTGGCATACTGGTAACTTCTCAAATTTTCAGATAACATTTATTTTCAAAGGATAGGAATGATATTGGATGACAAATCTGAGATTTTGATTTCTTGTGGCCACTTTTTTAAGGTGTACATAGCTGCATTCTCAGTGGGCTGGGGTGCGATACCCTGGGTTTTGATGTCTGAGGTAAGTTTTGATTAGAAAAACGTGCTCAATATGAGAGAGAGAGAGAGAGAGAGAGAGAGAGAGAGAGAGAGGTCGTCTGCACTCTCTACTACACAAACTAACGTATACTCTACTACTACGATACTTACTTACTAATAAGTAGTAAGAAACGAACGACGACGACGACGACGTAC